CGGATGGGACTTGGGCTCCGGACGGGGAGGGGGGGCTCAGGTCTCCCCACAAAGGGGAGGCCCTGACCGGCCCCGGGGGACCGGCCAGCCCCCTCTCCGCCCTGGAGCTAGGCGGATGGGACTTGGGCTCCGGACGGGGAGGGGGGGCTCAGGTCTCCCCACAAAGGGGAGGCCCTGACCGGCCCCGGGGGACCGGCCAGCCCCCTCTCCGCCCTGGAGCTTGGCGGATGGGACTTGGGCTCCGGACGGGGAGGGGGGGCTCAGGTCTCCCCACAAAGGGGAGGCCCTGACCGGCCCCGGGGGACCGGCCAGCCCCCTCTCCGCCCTGGAGCTTGGCGGATGGGGACTTGGGCTCCGGACGGGGAGGGGGGGCTCAGGTCTCCCCACAAAGGGGAGGCCCTGACCGGCCCCGGGGGACCGGCCAGCCCCTCTCCGCCCTGGAGCTTGGCGGATGGGACTTGGGCTCCGGACGGGGAGGGGGGGCTCAGGTCTCCCACAAAGGGGAGGCCCTGACCGGCCCCAGGGGACCGGCCAGCCCCTCTCCGCCCTGGAGCTAGGCGGATGGGACTTGGGCTCCGGACGGGGAGGGGGGGCTCAGGTCTCCCCACAAAGGGGAGGCCCTGACCGGCCCCGGGGGACCGGCCAGCCCCCTCTCCGCCCTGGAGCTAGGCGGATGGGACTTGGGCTCGGACGGGGAGGGGGGGCTCAGGTCTCCCCACAAAGGGGAGGCCCTGACCGGCCCCGGGGGACCGGCCAGCCCCTCTCCGCCCTGGAGCTTGGCGGATGGGACTTGGGCTCCGGACGGGGAGGGGGGGCTCAGGTCTCCCCACAAAGGGGAGGCCCTGACCGGCCCCGGGGGACCGGCCAGCCCCCTCTCCGCCCTGGAGCTAGGCGGATGGGACTTGGGCTCCGGACGGGGAGGGGGGGCTCAGGTCTCCCCACAGGGGAGGCCCTGACCGGCCCCGGGGGACCGGCCAGCCCCCTCTCCGCCCTGGAGCTAGGGCCGGGGGGGTCCTGGGGGGGCGGCACCGAGGGAGGGGGCCAGGGGGGGGCCCCACTCAGGGTGGGGGGACCGGGGGGTCCGCCCGTGGATGGGGGGGGTCAGCTCACCCCATCCGCGTGACCCAAGGGGCGCTTTCGCTAACCCCACTTAGGGTCCTAAGAGGGCTGCACTTGCGGCCGGGTGACCGCCGATTCGGACGCCGGGGAGGGCGGCACCGCAGATGCGGGGGCCGCCTGCTGGAAGGGACCGCCAATCCAGTCCCTGGATCCATCCCGGCTCTTGGGGCGGACTCTGCGCCCCGCCCGGCCGCAGGTGCGCTGCGGCCCGATTGCCCGCAGCTGCACCGCATCAGGCCTGATTAGGACGCCGGCTACTTGGCCAGGGGCATGTGCTCGCCGGCCTCAGTCGGAGTTTTGCAGCAGCAGGGTGAGGAGCAACATGACCGCGTCCAAGTTCGTGAACCGATGTCCCGTGTGCTCACGCAAGTCCTGGCGGCTGCGTGAGCACCTGGACGAGAAGCACAAGGTTAGGAATCCGGTGGAGCGCGTGTCCTCCTGGCGTTCGCCAGGGGCCGGGTGAACGTCAAGGGGATGCGGTGTCCGGTGCAGCGCTGCGGGTACGACGGCCGCCGTGTGCAGCAGCACCTGCAGGAGTCCCACCGCGACATGGGTCAGCGGCAGAAGCGGCGTCTTCTGGCCGGCCTGCAGTGGCAGAAGACGCTGGAGAAGCTGCGGCAGCTGAGGCGCTCGGACCCCCACCCACCCATGGCTACCGGGCTGGACCTGCCGGAGGCAGGCGACAGGGCCCCGGCAGAGGCGGAGGTTCGGCCATCCCGCAGCTCACCTCCGCCACGCAGACCGGTGGTGGAGGATGAGGAGGAAGAGCAGGACGACGAGGAGGACATGCAGGCGGAGGAACAGGGGGCGCAGGAGGAGCCGGAGGAGCCTGAGCTGATGGAGTAGACCACCACCACCACGACAACGGGGCTCAGCTCCACCATCGCCGGGACCACCCTTGCCTCCCAGCCCCGACGAGCCACGTTCCCCGGAGCGGGGGAACCAGCAGGACCAGCAGGACCCGCAGGAGGGCGGATCCAGACGGCAGAGCCCGACCTCGACCACGCCTGCGGACCCCACAGAGCCCACCGAGCCCACCGAGCCCACAGAACCGGTGCGTACAACCGTACACTTTCCTGAGTGTGTCATGCAGTATTTGGCCGGGTACAGGAGGCACCTGGTGGGTGCCCTCCCGTCGAAGAAGCATGTGGAGAACGCCAGGTCCAAGATGGGCAGAGTGGACCAGTTCCTGCGCAGGATGGCCGAGGGAAAGAGCGGCCTGGAGACCTGGCGGTTCATGGCTGATGCCGACAGGGTCCTCGGCTGGCCGGCGGACCTGCTCAAGCAGGGCAAGCAGATAACGACAGTGAAGGTGTACCTGGTCAACACGGGTCAGTTCCTGACATACTTCACGGAGACTCCGCCTGAGACCTCCACCGTGCCCCAGCACGGACTCGTCTCCGTCTCGCGGGCCCTGAAATCCGCCGCGGGGCAGATCTCAACCACCGTGGTCCTGCACCAGATACAGGTCAAAGACCAGAAGGAGAAACGCACTGTTTCAGCGCCGGTTCTGCGCAGGTGTCTGGAGGAGTGTCGCAGATGGATCCCGGAGCTTTTGCGCGACTCATCGCGGAGGAGGCACGACGTGGTCCTGCGATACCAGCTATTCGGTTGCTTTGCGCTGTTCGTCGCTTCTCTGTACGGCCACAGAGCAGGCGTGGTCCGCAACATGACAGCTGCTGAGGTACGAGAAGCCGAGGATGGACACCGGCGCGACTCCTCCGGCTATGTCATTAACGTAAGTGCCCCGTTCCAGCGAGCACTTCATCCCGGAGGCAGAACCAGGGGCCCTGGTAGCAGAGAACCGTGACTGCAGCCTCTCGGTTGAACCCATCAACCGAGAGGCTGCAGTCACGGGCCTCTGCGAACCAGGACCTCCAGCCAAACAACTTACCTTCCCCAGCAGAGAGTTCCACATTCCAGGTCAGAAACTCACCTCTGCTGTCCTCGTCTGTCTGTCCCTCCATCCCGCAGGTGAGACAACACAAGACGGCCAGGGCTTTCGGGAGCGCCCAGCTCTTCCTGACGCCGGAGGAGTTCGGATGGCTAAAGAGCTGGATGACCATACGCAGCAAGCTGCGCCCCCAGACCGACCTGGTGTTTTTCAACTGCAACGGAGGACCGGTACACAAGCTGACCTCCTTCGCCCGGGACGCATGGGCGAGGATGCGCCTGCCTGGATCCCCCTCCCTGACCGACATACGCACCGCGGTAGCCACGATGGTAGGTAGACCTGAGCTTCGTCCCCAGCCTTGAGCTTTCTCCACGGTCCCTCTCACTCTCTCTCTCTCTCTCTCTTCACAGGCGAGGGACACCAGTGCACGGAGGTCCGAAGGCAGATGTCACACTTGATGTGTCACGACACCAGAACCGCGGACCGTTTCTACGCGATGCAGCTGAGTGTGACCCAGTTGGCCGCCATGCGCAGGACCTTCGACGTGTCCAGGGGCGACGCTGAGCAGACTGTGGATGAATAATGTGTGCTGGTTCAATAAAGCCTCCTTAAACGACTCTTGCCCGTGTTTTGTGCTTGTTTTATGGGTAAAATCCTGTTCTTCCGTGAGAACCAGGAACGGTTAAAGGGGCTGATGCGGAGCTACTCATCCCCGCAGTGGCTCCACATCCCCGGGTAACAGAGAACCAGGATGGCAGCCTCTCTGAGAACCAGGGCCTGCTGCGGAGCTACTCACCCCAGCCGTGGCTCCACATCCCCGGGTAACAGAGAACCAGGATGGCAGCCTCTCTGAGAACCAGGGCCTGCTGCGGAGCTACTCACCCCAGCCGTGGCTCCACATCCCCGGGTGACAGAGAACCGGGACAGCGGCCTCTGTGAAAGATTGTAGCTATGGTATGGCTGCTGCTCGGGGCTGCATCTCCGGGCATCTCCGGCCGCATCCCCGGGCCGATTCTCCAGCCTGCTGCTCGGGGCTGCATCTCCGGGCATCTCCGGCCGCATCCCCGGGCCGATTCTCCAGCCTGCTGCTCGGGGCTGCATCTCCGGGCATCTCCGGCCGCATCCCCGGGCCGATTCTCCAGCCTGCTGCTCGGGGCTGCATCTCCGGGCATCTCCGGCCGCATCCCCGGGCCGATTCCAGCCTGCTGCTCGGGGCTGCATCTCCGGGCATCTCCGGCCGCATCCCCGGGCCGATTCTCCAGCCTGCTGCTCGGACATCCATGCTGTTGGCAGATCTGGTGCATGGGACATGCCCTGGAGCGGTCCACGGCCGAAGGCACGCTCATATTCAGGGCTAGGTGGTCTTACAAAACCTTCTGTTGTAATCCTGCCGGCGGGGCTTTGGACATCTGTGTGCTCAAAGTGCTATTTTCCCCGATTGGGCAGGGGCTTAAGCGGGTGTCGAGGGTGGGCGATCCTTTGTACACCTGGAAAGCCATTTTTCATTTCTCCCGGCTCCTGTGAACGTGCTAAAAATCATTCGACCGCACAGGGCTGTGCTCCGGAACACGGGCTACCGGCCCGTGGTGCGTTTTTCCCGGATTTCGGCCTTTTTGACCGGTTTTCGAACGCTTTTCCGGCGCGACTTCCGCCGCTTGCCCCGCAGCGGGGGGACCGCGTAGAGACGCGACACCCACGCCGAATTGTTCTCCTGGCTTAGGCCTTCAAGGGGATATATGGCTTCCCCGGGTTGAAAGCGTTTTCACCCGCTCTACCGGAAGTTGAAGTTGACCGGGCGGAAAAACGGCACTCTTTCGCGGCTTAAAAATCGAGGAAGCCGCGGAAACGGGCAGGACCCGCGCCGAATTGTTTCTCCTCAGCGAGACCTTTAAAAGCATGTATGGCTTGCCCGGATGGAATTCATTTTTACCCGCTTTTCCGCAAGTTGAAGTTGACCGTGCGGCCAAAAGAGGCTCTTCCCAGGTATGGCTGCAGAGCCCCGGGTGACAAACAACCGTGGCTGTGGTTCCTGGTTCTCAGAGAGGCTGCAGTCCTGGTTCTGTGTTACCCAGGTCACACACACAGTGACCCGGGTAACACAGAACCAGGACTGCAGCCTCTCTGAGAACCAGGAACAACAGCCTAAATACTTACCCCATCCAAAATACTTACCTGAAACCAGGCCTGGAGCTCAAGTACACTGCAGTTGACCTCTGGCCTCAGCCAGGGAACAACCAGGACTTGCTAAACTGTCTTTAATTCTACCCAGGAGAGAGAACCAGGGCCCTGGGGAGGAGAGGAGCAGGACCAACAGCCAAAATACTTACCTGAAACCAGGCCTGGAGCTCAAGTACACTGCAGTTGACCTCTGGCCTCAGCCAGGGAACAACCAGGACTTGCTAAACTGTTTAATTCTACCCAGGAGAGAGAACCAGGGCCCTGGGGAGGAGAGGAGCAGGACCAACAGCCAAAATACTTACCTGAAACCAGGCCTGGAGCTCAAGTACACTGCAGTTGACCTCTGGCCTCAGCCAGGGAACAACCAGGACTTGCTAAACTGTCTTTAATTCTACCCAGGAGAGAGAACCAGGGCCCTGGGGAGGAGAGGAGCAGGACCAACAGCCAAAATACTTACCTGAAACCAGGCCTGGAGCTCAAGTACACTGCAGTTGACCTCTGGCCTCAGCCAGGGAACAACCAGGACTTGCTAAACTGTCTTTAATTCTACCCAGGAGAGAGAACCAGGGCCCTGGGGAGGAGAGGAGCAGGACCAACAGCCAAAATACTTACCTGAAACCAGGCCTGGAGCTCAAGTACACTGCAGTTGACCTCTGGCCTCAGCCAGGGAACAACCAGGACTTGCTAAACTGTCTTTAATTCTACCCAGGAGAGAGAACCAGGGCCCTGGGGAGGAGAGGAGCAGGACCAACAGCCAAAATACTTACCTGAAACCAGGCCTGGAGCTCAAGTACACTGCAGTTGACCTCTGGCCTCAGCCAGGGAACAACCAGGACTTGCTAAACTGTCTTTAATTCTACCCAGGAGAGAGAACCAGGGCCCTGGGGAGGAGAGGAGCAGGACCAACAGCCAAAATACTTACCTGAAACCAGGCCTGGAGCTCAAGTACACTGCAGTTGACCTCTGGCCTCAGCCAGGGAACAACCAGGACTTGCTAAACTGTCTTTAATTCTACCCAGGAGAGAGAACCAGGGCCCTGGGGAGGAGAGGAGCAGGACCAACAGCCAAAATACTTACCTGAAACCAGGCCTGGAGCTCAAGTACACTGCAGTTGACCTCTGGCCTCAGCCAGGGAACAACCAGGACTTGCTAAACTGTCTTTAATTCTACCCAGGAGAGAGAACCAGGGCCCTGGGGAGGAGAGGAGCAGGACCAACAGCCAAAATACTTACCTGAAACCAGGCCTGGAGCTCAAGTACACTGCAGTTGACCTCTGGCCTCAGCCAGGGAACAACCAGGACTTGCTAAACTGTCTTTAATTCTACCCAGGAGAGAGAACCAGGGCCCTGGGGAGGAGAGGAGCAGGACCAACAGCCAAAATACTTACCTGAAACCAGGCCTGGAGCTCAAGTACACTGCAGTTGACCTCTGGCCTCAGCCAGGGAACAACCAGGACTTGCTAAACTGTCTTTAATTCTACCCAGGAGAGAGAACCAGGGCCCTGGGGAGGAGAGGAGCAGGACCAACAGCCAAAATACTTACCTGAAACCAGGCCTGGAGCTCAAGTACACTGCAGTTGACCTCTGGCCTCAGCCAGGGAACAACCAGGACTTGCTAAACTGTCTTTAATTCTACCCAGGAGAGAGAACCAGGGCCCTGGGGAGGAGAGGAGCAGGACCAACAGCCAAAATACTTACCTGAAACCAGGCCTGGAGCTCAAGTACACTGCAGTTGACCTCTGGCCTCAGCCAGGGAACAACCAGGACTTGCTAAACTGTCTTTAATTCTACCCAGGAGAGAGAACCAGGGCCCTGGGGAGGAGAGGAGCAGGACCAACAGCCAAAATACTTACCTGAAACCAGGCCTGGAGCTCAAGTACACTGCAGTTGACCTCTGGCCTCAGCCAGGGAACAACCAGGACTTGCTAAACTGTCTTTAATTCTACCCAGGAGAGAGAACCAGGGCCCTGGGTAACAGAACTGGGACAGCAGCCTCTCTGAGATCCAGGCCTGGAGCTCACCCAGTGAGAACCAGGAATCGGTAAAGTGTTTTTAATTCTACCCGGGACAGGGGACCAGAGCCCCGGGTAACTGAACTGACACAGCAGCCTCTCTGAGAACCAGGCCTGGAGCTCACCCAGTGAGAACCAGGAATCGGTAAAGTGTTTTTAATTCTACCCGGGACAGGGGACCAGAGCCCCGGGCAACTGAAGCGGGAGAGCAGCCTCTCTTAGAACCAGGCCTGGAGCTCACCGTGTGAGAACCAGGAATCGGTAAAGTGTTTTAATTCTACCCGGGACAGGGGACCAGAGCCCCGGGTAACAGAGAACCGGGACGGCAGCCTCTCTGAGAACCAGGCCTGGAGCTCACCCAGTGAGAACCAGGAATCGTTAAAGTGTTATTAATTCTACCCGGGACAGGGGACCAGAGCCCCGGGTAACTGAACTGACACAGCAGCCTCTCTGAGAACCAGGCCTGGAGCTCACCCAGTGAGAACCAGGAATCGGTAAAGTGTTTTTAATTCTACCCGGGACAGGGGACCAGAGCCCCGGGTAACAGAGAACCGGGACGGCAGCCTCTCTTAGAACCACCAGCCAAAATACTTACCCCAGCAGTGGCTCCAAGTCCCCGGGTGACAAACAAACATGGTGGAGACCCTGGTTCTTAGACAGGCTGCAGTCCTGGTTCTGTGTAACCCAGGCCACACGCAGTGACAAGGGTAACACAGAACCAGGACCGCAGCCTATCTGAGAACCAGGCCCTCCACCACAACTACTTACCCCAGCCTTGGCTCCACACCCCCGGGTAACACAGAACCACCAATCCAGCCTCTCTTAGAACCAGGCTCTCCATCCGAACATGCGTACCCACACTTAAGCCCCCTTCCACGGACTACACCAAACAGCCACACGCCCAGCAGAGTCGTGCCCTGGTAAGACAAAAAAAAAGAGAAAAAGACTTAGGCTTTTGCTCAGAGTTCGTGCAACTGGTAAGGTGGTGACACTTAGGCGAAATGCAGGGTGTGGGACTTAAGCCTTTTTAAGGGGTTTTGCGCCCCTGGTAAGGCGCTAGTACTTAGGAGAAAACCAGGGTGTAGGACTTAAGCCTTTTAAGGGGTTGTGCGCCCCTGGTAGGGCTCTGTTACTTAGGAGAAATCCAAGGTGTAGGGCTTAAGTCTCTGTCTTCCACGCTCCGTGCCCCTGGTGCAGTCACGGGGCGTACGAGCTCCGACGGGCGGAGAGGGGGGGCTCAGGTCTCCCCACGAAGGGGAGGCCCCGACCGGCCCAGGGGACCGGCCGGCCCCCTCTCCGCTCTGGAGCGTGGCGGATGGGACTTAGGCTCTGAGCAGAGCCGGGCGGCTCGTGCCTATGGTATGGCATAGATCAATAGGGGAGGGGAGGGGAGG